CTGAAATGGCATTTAAGTGGCGCACAGCTCAGCGGAAATCCTACCATTGTCCCTTTTTCTCCAACGCAAAAGCAGTCTCGACTCGAACAGTCTCTGCATTTCACCTGCTGAAAAGTACATACGTTTTAGAGAAAAACAATAGATGAGTTTCACTGAAGCATGCACGAAGATCGTTTTGTGTATAAACTACGATGCCCGACGAAACCAGGCAATTCGTCCCTCAAACCCGGGGCCACCCATGTCGAGATTTCTGCCCCCGCTGTCGCTACTAATCGATGACCCCGAACCAGGCAGCTACAGTAATGCCCCGTCTCGCATTTGTTTCGACGTGTGCTTGTTCAACCTTCGCAAATGAGTCGCACAAAACTGAGTGCAAGGTCGACTACTCGTAATAGCCATGCAGTCATGCGCAGTGCTACAGGAGCTTAACGGCTAGACTCACGCAGCATTGAAATATTGAAATCAACGGAAATGGTGTTTGGTAATCGGACCATTAGTACAAAAAAATGCGCTTGCCTAAAGCTCCTTTCCATATAAAGACGTCTGAGGTTTGCCTTTCAAGCCAAGAATAAACTCATTGTGTACTGCACCAATTTATGCAGTACTTACAATAACGATGACTGCTGCTTGTTCATTAGTTGTTCGTCATTAACAGCTAATTTGCAGCCTGGTCATGCAATATTATACGGCGCTCGCATGTACATATTTTAGGTATCCGTAAGATTGCTTGTTGCATTTTAATTCCAGGAACCAAAAACTGGCTTGAAGCCTATTAAACATTAATCAAAAATATAAATTGTACATTAGGCAGTAAATAGTGCTCGTTCTCTTCACAATATCGTTTACCTAATTCCTCAGTGGTTACTGTTGGGCATCTCCTTTTCATTCGTAAATGATTACGAATGGCTGGAAAAAAACTTCGGAAAGAGAAATTCAGAGTAATACGCACATTTTAATAATTCACTGCCGGTTGCATCGTTTGCTGACCCAAAATCAATAAATCAAATTCCTATTCCTATCAGCTGCTAGTGTAGAAAACTTACCATAGATGATGCCATACTGGCGAGGGCCCACAGGTTAAAGTGCGGAAGAAACTCAGTTTAAGAAATTTGTGTAAACAGAATAGATCAATTTTTCTGTCCAGGAACGATCTGTCCTCTGAAATTAAATGCTTCCTGTTGATTAGAATGAATATAATGGATCGAAAGGCGTCGAATTTCTGTTATGGATTTAATGATACTGCAATAAAACTACAGGAAAATGGGCAGAGAATTAACATAAGAAATACAAAAAATGGAGTATGGACATTCAAATGTTTGGAATGTCTTCTTTTATTCGAAATTTTTTAAGAGATAGTTCTGATCTAAATATTTTGGAGGACCGAGAAATCACTGCAGTAGTATTGAAAAGTTTTCGGATTGATCAAGAAAGTATTTTCTGTGCTATATTAAGTGAAGAAACGACGACTAAAGCAACTATGCATTTTCCGGACAAACAGAAGCGTATTTCGTCATGTGCACCTAAAGAAACCGGCAACAGAAGGGGAAATAACCAAGGCAACAGAAATAATAACTTGTGATATTATTTAACTGACTTGACATTTATGCAAGTGCAGAAAACGACATACTTCTCATATGATTTTCTGATTCACAATGTACGGCGTCATTCTCTGCCTCAATACAGTGCCACATCTGCATAATCGAAAAGGGTACTGCTTAATGCATTCTGTTTTTCTCTATTCTTTACGGCCGTTCACTTATCTAAGATTTAGTGAAGATGAAAGCTGTCACCCAACGTCGACCATTCTTCACATCCGTCGCGGGATAATTCAGACACCGAACCGACACGTCTCAAGCAAAATGAAGTATAACATTCTCTTGGAAACGGCTTCTGACATTCTCTTCAATGTAGTTTCAGATGAAACATAAAGTTTAAGCAAGGTCTGTAAATATTCTGACCTCGATTTTCTGAAGGGCGTCATTTTTATGATACTTCCTTTCATTGAGATCATCGTATGCGGTGTTGAACTCCATCGAAACACCATTAACTAAAACTGACATATTCTTCTGAAAGCAATAATCGCAGCTCCGTGACCACTGCAGCGTGTGGTTTCATGTCTCTGCCTATTTTCCATGACGTGGGCTCTTCCGCCTACGTTGAAAACGTCAAAGGAGAGGGCGTCTGTAGAGACTTAAACTCGTGATTTTCCGTACGTGAGCCTGGTACGCTTGCAGGGGAGCTTTTCTGGTCATCGAATGAAAAAGAAGCAGCTACCAGCATATCGAGAATTTTAGCGAGTAAACAGAGATGCCATAAAAAGCAGAGGTTGGAGCGACAATAGATCTTGGCTATTTACATTTAACATTCATGCCTGATGTAAGCAGCTACTGTTTCTTAAATCTTGCAATGCAGGAAAAGAAAAAAATTTTGCGCATTGCTAAATAACGATCGGACCAAATGAAAATATGCCGAATTACTCGTAGAACAATTATCGAAAGATGATACGTTTATTCTGTCGCGAATGCTTTATTTCTTTATCTTTCTTATACAACGTTCGAAAATATCTCATGAGTCGAAATTTCTCGTTGACGCGTCTGCTGCTATTGCAAGAAGCAATTTAATTTACCTAAATATATCTTGCATAGGAGTATTCTATCGAAATCTGCGGTTCAATTATTTTCTAAGAGAGACGAAAATGTTTCCTGGTCTCTAACTTTTTGAACTTCATGCAAGCGTTAAACTCATTTGCCTCGAAAAATAATTTCTTACTTTTCAAGTCAGAAAGGAATTATGTACCAATAAACAGACTTCTTCCTGTGAGCTTCAGTAGAAATATGTACTTCTGAGCAAACATTTACAACGCCAATCATATAACCACGACGACCGTGGTATCAAGAATCGTACCGCCGACGCATCCTAACTGTCAAATGGACCTGGATTTCTCGTTGACAGAAACGTCGCTGGAAAGACGTTTCGAAGCAATCGCGTAGGCAGAGGAAAGGGAGGGTCGATGCAAATTGAATTTCACTCCCCCAAACTGCTGTGTCTCACTCCGACGCTCGCTTTTGACTCGATTCCGTTCGAATGGCGCTCGTGTCTCAAGCTATGACAGCAAAGACGAGGGAGCAGCGGTGAGGAACGTACTGAGCTGTTCGTCCCCGTTTGTCACGCAGTCGGTAGAATTTAAACATTTGAATCCATCGCTTTAACGGAACTAGCTGATTTGATTGATGCACGAATTTGTTAAACTAATAAGTCGACGTAACCGATAAGGACACCCTTCTAAAGTTTGACACTGATAGCTTGGCGATGGGAAAGCGTCAGGACGGTACTACGAGGTAATTCTGTTGGTCCATCGATTGTACGGTTAAGAACGGCTCCTCAGGTAAAACCTGTCACATAACGAATGCCATTCAGGAAGCAAGTTCAAGACATTTTTTGCGGCGTTTAAAGGGGCTGTCAGATGTCCGGTCCTTAGTTACACGTATTTCGGCACCTATACTATGCCATGGTTGATGTCATTCGTCCAGTTCGGAGCAAACTCAAGAAGGTTTGTCACGACCTCAAGTGTGAGAGTATGAAATGACTCCATCTAGCGTCGTTAGTCATCACCAACCATACGATAAACGAATGAGATGAAGAGAGAAGAGAATGTTCCGTGGCACAGCCGCTGGACACTGGATGCAATCGGTACGAAACGTCGGCACTGACCGACTGGTGGAAATGGCGAAGAACGACTCTGAAGCACACCAGGCGCGGCAACGGTTCAGAAAATATCGACGACGCTATTAATGTCCAGATTAAATTCCGTTTAATAGCTTTATGGCCGAATGATTGTGAATGCTGCGGTAAGCGAGTTTGTGAAGTTCGTCGTCGGTAGTTACGAGGCCACCGCGAAGCAGGCCGTTTGGCGGTTGATTTTCCAAAGTATTCTATTACCGCTCAAACAGTCAACAGTCATCTGGGCTTCGATTCGCGCCGTCCAAAAGCAACAACGTCGCCGCAACCCCGTCTCGTCAGTTCACTCAGTTCACTCAGCAAAAGAAGTCGCCGCGGCGTTCCGTCACCGTCCGACTGACTGACTGACTGACTGTCAGGGTGTGGCTGGTACTCGCCGACCGTCATTTCACGACCAACCGGTGTCCGGCCCGAGTTTCTTTCGTCGGCCATCTGAACGCACCGCGGTTAAGCACCAAGGGCAGTCGGGCGCATTCCACCGTCTTGGTCCCTGTAGTAATCGTTAACAATCACAAGACACGCTGCGCTGTGGTTCTACAGTTGACAGACATTTTTGCTTCTTGTCGAAAGGACTGACACGTGGTCGCAATGACGATGAATACCTAGGCTTGACG